TGTTGTATTAAATAAGTAGCCTGGTTCTTTAAGACATAACAAAACCTAACCATTAAGACCAAATCAAACCTGGAAAGGAATAATAAATAACAATTTAGGTATAATTTCTCACCCAATAAATTAACTTTTAACTGCACTTTGTCAGCCTATTAAAACCATTATAAACAGGCTGGACTGTGTTCAGCTGCAAAACAATTAAAATGTATGAACTGTAATATTTTCTGAAATTTAAAAAGGAAAAGTTCTCGGCGTTCTATCAAATCCCCTCCATCATTGGTTTCTGCCCTTGCCAAAAGACGGCTTGTTTATGCTAACTGCCGACTGCATTTTATTGGTCTTTGTGTTATTGACTATTGGCACGTTTCAGGGGTTTATTTGGCTGACTAATTTTTGTTTTTATTTTGTAAAAAACTATTTCGTCTGTAAAATCTGTTAGTTTTTATTACCGTGAGCTCTAATTCATACGATTGTGCATAAGTATACTCGATAATCAAATATTGAAAACTTAAGATTATACATTTTAAATAAGTTTCGTCAAATCAGCGAATGTTATAAACACTTCTGAGATTAAAACTCCATAGTATTTTTAAAACAACATCTACACATTTGCTATGTTGTATATAATATTGAAATTAGCCTATGTTGTTATTTATGCATTTTTGAATAATAGGACAGCAAATGGAGAAAAGATTTCTACACTTTTTTGTAACCACATTTTAGTTTTTGAAATCAAATGCAATGAAATTCTGTTTTATCAGATCTTAGTGGTATAGCAAGCACATTAAACCATACAAGATCTATACTAAAATATTTTTTAAGTGTGTACGAGGTGTTAGCCCGTCCTACGTACGGGAATTCAGTAGTCAGTTAAAACCGTGTACAATTCAGATCAGCTAGTTTACACATAAAGACAAAGTTTCTTGCAGTTTTAATGTGAAAAATCATCATGTAAACAAATGTTGTGTGACCAAATATTTTTTTATTCCATCATAGGCCTATACGATATGCATTTTAAATCCGATAATTTTACAATAAAACAGCAATTCTGCAATTTTTACGATGTGAAAAGCGTTGAAGTGAGATTTGCAGCCGATTCGCACAGACGCACACTGATTATAAGTAGGCATACAGTAGAGAGAGTAATAGTCAATTGAGAAGTGGATAGACCTAGTCAACGATACCACCTTCCATACTTACTTACTTACTTACTTACTTACTCCTTCTTCATCTTTTACCCAAAAAAGGGATAGATTGCGTCTCGACAAAAAAAATTGCATAGGTACCTGTCTCTTCCATAATTATTATCACCACAATACAACTACTATACACAATTTCCAGTAGGTCTGAATGAAACGACCTAAAATAAAACGATAATATCCATTACAATTCACAGTACACATAATTTAACTTTGGTGTCCTAACTTCAAAAGTAATCGTCACACCTATCCTTTATATCAATGTCACTGCATCAATTGTAAAATAAATAAGTGTAAACAAAAAAAAAAGCAAAAACAATAACAGTTTGTTTTGAAACAGCTGTTTGGTTCAAATAACATTCACTTGAAAAAAAGAACTTGTCACATGTAGCAGGAATATAAAAAGTAAACACGCTAGTAAAGCTAATGACGTAATTGTCAATGTTTATTATCCATACCGTATATCAGTTCTATTCTTGATAATTACCCACCCTCATTGAATAAATGTACATCGTATGATTTCCCATATTAGTTAATTTAAACTACAATATATTTATAGTTGAAATAAAAGTGATATTTTCACGTTTGGGGGCGCTGATATAGGCACCCCCAAACGTAACCACAACTGAACACGATTTCATAAAAGGATGGTTTATCTAATTGCAGTATCCTAGGTCATGTTGACGTTGTGTTCAATCTATGTCATCCATCTGTTTATCTTTGTATAAAACCCGGCTGATGTTGTGGTTGTAATTTAAAATCGTGATTCCTGATTATTCTTGATCTTCTTTTTATGACATCAATATTTCCGGGCCTAATCCAATGAAAGTTAAAGCAGACAAACATTAATTGTAAACAAAAAGCTACCATGAAGAATTAAAACATGTAAACATTGTTATTTTTCTAATCTTTCCTTGAAAAGTGGAGCAGTAAAATCATTTGCATCTATCATTTTTAATAAGACTCGTGTACAGAGCCTCGATTTGTACTGTGGTTTAATTAATTTTGGTCTAAACTATTTTAAACTGTGGTCTAATTATCTCTACTGATCTTATTTCCTATAATCATTGACAAAATAAGAGTAAATAAAATAACCTAATAGTTCCATAGTTTATATTTAACCAGCTGTTAGTTAAAACAAATTATATTGATCTAAAACAAATCGAAGATTACAAAGATTGCTTTAAAAAATAATTTGAACATCCTAGTATTTTACTATGTATATTTAATTAATCCGTCATACTCTTACAGAAGAATTGAACGTACCAATGATTAGCATTACACATAGTATAAATAAGTCAACCCTAAGTATGTCTTTACATTTTTATCCAAATGCTGAATTTGTGACACAAAAGCTAAATGTTTACAGCTGTTATGTTAAGCACATTATTTTATGACAAAAACTAGTTTAGAATCTTAGCGTCGGCTGCTAGACTTTTTAAAAATTAAAACTTAATATCTAAAAAACTGGGACCCTAAACTAAAATTATGGCTTCGACATTCCCTAGTTTTCAAAATTATCTTTCTTTCAACACAAAAATCATGAAAATCCGTCAAGTTGTTGATTCAGAATCGTGAAATAAAAAAACACTGTTTCGTTTTAATATTATAGATAATTTAATACATTGGTTAACATAAACTTTAAAAGTAATCATAAATATGGTTGATTAATTTTAAGGGATTTCCCCTAAACATTCTGAAATTATTGTTTGGCTCGTTAATAAAAAAACAATAAATAGTAAAAACCCTTTTGGGCATGATGATGACCGGTGTATAGGTTGAAATCGATCACCATTGTAATATATTTTACACCGGCATAACATATATTCATTGTATTGTAAACATTTATGGTTTGTACAGTGTATTTATCGAATATAAAAGTTTTCAAATGCTGCAAGTTTTCAAAAAATATAGTATTTTAGTTTAAATCATACCCGTAAAATAAATACAGACATAAAAAAATACTTAATGTAAATTTATATTAATAAAAGAATTTGTTGGATTTTTGTGTGCAGCAAATCGACCCCTAAATATTTATTTTTATAGGTATATTGGGGTGCCAATTTAAAGCTCTTATCCCATAGATGTGCCTTTTGTGGGTTTAGATGATATGCCGTGAAAGCCCTTCGTCCTAAAGGCTTTTAAAATTTCATAACTGAATTCTGTTGTCAATCATCTGAACTTTTTCAAGTTTACTTTTGTTTACATCAAATAGATGGCCATGATACAATAGTAGTTTACACAACGATTGCGTTTAGTGAGTCTTTACGACACGAGTAGAAAATTTAAGGCACGAGCCTTGGCGAGTGCCTTAAAAACTTCTACGAGTGTCGTAAAGACTATTAACGCGAGTTGCGTACACTATTTTACCTACGACCGTTTTTTAATTACTATCAATCTGGATTTAATTACTAACAATAACCACTGATAACTTTTTAGAGAGGTTATGTTTTCGTGTATTGTCATTGCCACTGAAAGTGATGCAACGACTTGTTGTATAATCAGCTGATTTCCTGTAATTACGTGTTTGTTAAACTTCGTTAAATATTACATTGCTAGCAGCATTCTTACCATAAATAATATTGTATCAGGTACAATTCGGCAAATATTTCATTTATTTTTGGACTTCCACCAACTTAATTAAGAATACGCGAGTATCGACATGAACAAGTCGGATCAACAATTAAATTGGTCAACTGATCAGCTGATCAGCTGATTAGTTGACGTTCGAAGCATTACAATTTTAATTATTTTCTCTCAATACTTGAACCTCATTGGTCCGTTACCTGTGTGGATATGAGAAAACTATGCGGATATGAAATGAAACTATGCGGATATGAAAGTAAACAGCTGTAAAGTGAAACTTTTCAATTCTAAGAACTGGACTGAAATGGCTACTTTAAAAAACGGTCGTAGGTAAAGTTGTTTACATCCATGCGAAAATGGGGTTATCTGTAGTTGGGTGGTAGTTGGTGATGTTTCAGTTAATTAAAGTAAAATGTTGTAATGTTATTTGTATAAAATGTAAATAAGAAAATGACTTACGTTAGATTTTGTGGTGTGATAGGATTTTGTGTTTTATAGTATGTTTATCGGTTTTTTTAGGAAATTCAAGTAAAATAATGTAACGTTATTTGTTTAAAATGTACAGAAGAAAATGACTTATGTTAGACTTTGTGTTTTCATTGAATGTTTCAAAAGTAGTTGTAATTCTAAGAGATCGCGCACGCAATGAAAATAATAGGCTCGCAATGCAAATAATAGGGACATGCTGAGAAATAATCATTTTCAATCTTATCAACTATATATAAAATATATCACGGATTTTGAAGTCATGAAGTGACGCAGGTTGCTAGTTTGATAAAAAATTGTTGTCCACTTTAAATTACTACATAATACAATTACACTCATTTACGGAAATCTACATGATATAACACATTAATAAAACCGAGAAACAAATATAATAAAACTGTTGTTTTAATGTCGATGAAAAACAATCTAGCCTACTAAAAATAACCAAATAAAATGTTGTAGCTGACATAGGTTTTACATTGATGTCTGTAGGACCCAAAGATGGACAGAACATTGCCCGTGCGTCTACAGTACTGGGCTACTATAATTTTAATCAACTTTTACTCATTGATTCCATTAATTTAAACGAAGGTGGATTAATTTTGAATATCGATTTTAAATTTGAACAGGAACATTTACACATTTTCAGCACCAACATTAAATGTTTAAATAAAAATAAATTAACTATCCTCCAAATGCTGAGTATTACACCACTTATTCGCTGTGTTCCAGGGGACGGACGAGCCTCTAGGGTGTCAGGTCCGTAAAATGACGGTGAACTTCGCAGAGATTGGCTGGGGCGAGTGGATCATCTCTCCGCGCAAGTTTGAGGCCAATTATTGCACGGGGTCCTGTCGCTTCCCGCTGACTGAGGTAAAACTTACATCCCTAGTCAGCTTGACATTGCTGAGTACAGTTGTTTGGCTGAGTATAATTGGGCTGATACAGCCCGCAGTGTTGAGAATCAATCGATCCAAGGTTAAATTTGTATTTTGGATCATGCGTTAAGTGTACTAACATGTGCACATATAAGTATGTTAAAAATTGGACTACAGAGGGTGGCCAAATTATTAGACTAGACGTATGTACTGTAATTTAATGCATTTTTTGTTGTTAGAAAACATGTATAAACTAAAATAAAACTGCCTAATTTGGTATGGACTACAGTATAAAATAAATTTATATTATGCTTGAATGTTTTTGTATTGTTTTTGTATTGATTCTGATGGTATTGGCAGCATTGAATCAGCTGTTGTTTCTTTTACAGTAAAAGAAACAACAGCTGATTCAATGCTGCCAATGACATCAGAATCAATACAAAAACAATAAAAAAACATTCAAGCATAATATAAATTGATTTTATACTGTAGTCCATACCAAATTAGGCAGTTTTATTTTAGTTTATACATGTTTTCTAACCAAATTCAAAGTTAAGTCAAAAATGCATTAAACTACAGTACATACGTCTAGTCTAATAATTTGGCCACCCTCTGTAGTCAATGGCTAATGTTACCGTGAATTGCACATGTTCCCAGATTTGTAGATAAAATGAAGACAATTTAAACCATATTATACCGGTAAAGGATGTGTTTTTTTACTATTTATTACTTCTATTTCAATCAACTTAAAGATGTGTTTAACCGAATATCTTTTAAAACTATTGCTAGTTCTCTTTTATTATAACCTAGAGTAAAACTGAAGTCATCATTCATTAGAGAGGGCATTCAAACTTAAAATGTCACACACAAAATGCTTTAGATTTCCTAATAAGATTTTAAGTATGCACTTGCATAGTCAATGATCCTAGGTAGCATAAATAAGTGTTCAGTCTAAGTTAACAAAAACGTACTACTATCAAGTTAGGTAATACAGTTCAATATTTTCGTTTCTAATTTAAATGGTAGGTGTTAAACAATTTTAAGGCATTTTCAAAGAACCAATATTGTCCCTTGCATACTGACCCCGTTGCAAGGCACGGGTATAGCTGCTATTAAGTCAGATAAAATATAAATAATTTCCATTGTCAATGGCAAAACTAAAGCATGTATAATCTTAGACTTTTGACTCACTATAAAGAAGTTGATATAAGAATGGTATTGGTACAATTCTACGTTAATTGTATAGCCAGATTATGACAGTCAAATTTAGCAGAATGGACCACTGACCGTATTAATTACTTATTTCGATCGAATATCCCAGATTTTTAGCCAATCAAAACCAAAATGAGAACTAAAGAATCTTTTAATTCACATCGGCTGTCATTAGCAGAATGAGTCCATCCACACAAAGTTTACTACGGCTAAAGAAAAGACATAGGAACCCACTTTGATGATGAAATCTTAAATCGATATTTGTCTATTGATAACACACAATGTATATAGTCTCTTTCGGTTATCTTATCAACCGCTACCTGAAGCGACGTTTGATGTGCCCGACCATAAACTGTTACAATGTTGTAAAAATCACAGATCTTTTGTTTGGTCACAGTTGACAGCTTACATTTTTAATGATTATTGTCGATATCTAGTAATTGTGTTTGAAAGTTTTAATTTTACTAGTGAGACCATGGTTATAGACTTTATGGTACCATAGACTTTAAAAACTTAAGTTGAGTTTCCATGGACCAGCTGTAGCAATCTCTTTTAGCGAATTTCCTATATAGGGAATAAGCTATTACCGTAGGTCTCATGGTAAGACCTGGACCCGGGACCGATTTAGTTTTTCTATTTATATATGTGTCCGTTAGAACGATAACTCAAGCAAAAATGATCCGATTTTGATGAAATTTGGTATAAACGTGTAAACCTACATTTATTCGAACGAGTTCACGAACCAGCATGATCGGACTATGGGAACAGGGGTTTTATGGGGTAAAAATGGGGGATTATAATTTTTCACCCTAAAAACATAAAATTTCGCAATTTCTTTTCAAACCATTTTGTAGAGCTCAAACAACAAATAATTTAGTATATTGAAGCATTGTTGTATGCCTAACGGTTACGGAAAAATTCCCAAAAAAGATTAAATTTAAAATACCATGTTATTCTTATGGAGAATAAATAAACTGTTGTAGCTTGCTTGTCTATGGACATATTTTTATGAAATTTTGATATTTGGTTTACTTCATACTAAGCTATCGATAACAACTACTCAGGTAGATGGAAATTCGCTTAGTCTGCAGGTTTGCTGCGGCGAGGGTATATTTATGTGTTGTTGCAATTGCTCCAGAATCGTTTGTTACAATAATTAGGGCTTTACGTACCTAAATGTCAAAAATCTGTAAGTTAGAGTATTTATTGGTAATCGTTTTAACACACTCTCAGTATACCTCATTTAAAGAATGGATAATTCATATTCCCCATAAGGTTAACAACGGTGAAAAGTTATAAAGAACAACATAAATTATTATACTTATTGGGTTGGCATGCTGGAAACTACGTTTTACTTAGAGAGAACAACGTTAATGTACCTCTCTGAGTGTGTCGTGTCGTACTATTGGAGTTGACTTTTCTTTCTCGTTTTTCTTACTTTGTTAGTTGGTGAGGGTACAAAAGATGCAATGGTTGCCCTCTGAGGTTAAATTAAATGGGGGAAATACAGCAATCTACGTCCTTAGTTGAATAAGTTAATTTCTATCCGAAAACGATGTACAGCTTTCGAGGGATATCTACTTTAGAGTAGTGTTGTTTTAGTGAAAAATATAGGTTTTCTACTAACTATGGTAAGCTGTTTCAACCAATGTCATTTATTAAAATCCCTACAATCAAGATCAGTTGTATCAATTTTCGAACCCTCAAAAAGTTACGGACTTTTCTCAGCATCGAATAGAACCTATCTAAATGTAATTGCTGTCGGAATGACACGATAGACAAAAATACTTATTTCTAATAAGTTACTTGTCTTCAAATACTATTTCCAAACATGATCGACGTATGTGTGTGTGAGGGGAGGGGACGTAAGCGTGCGTGTGAAAGTGCTCAGAGTTCCAACACTTACCTCAAGTACCAACAAACAGTTGGGCTAATGCGCTACCTCCATCTGTCCGTTACCACTTTACCCCACAACCTACAGATAACACTCACCGTCTGAAACAAGAGGCCTTTTATCCTCTTTTCTTTTGCTCCACCATCCATTACTCTTTTGTTAAGACTATCGGAACCATTGAAACATATGTTGGTTTGCTACCAGCTTTGAGGTTAAAGGTTTTTAATTGGTCGTTTATAACGTTATGGTCTCGTTATGGTGGAGACGAATCATAAATTTCATGATAGTAAATTACGACTAAAATGACCGAGGTTCGAAGAAAATGTTGTAACTGTCAACGGACATAAAATATAGACATATTTAATATGTCTGTTGAGTGACAAATTGTGACAAACGTTTGGCGAAGAATTTTTATGTTTTGAGCTAATTTTAATGGTTTCGGTTCATTGAGTGTTATTTCTTAAAAAGGTGATCTTTTTAAAATACCTAAGTTGAACACTTCTCTATATTTATCATACTAATGGATCTGATGAAAAATTTTTTAAAGGAATATTTCTTGCTTGTGTCTAGGACGTCTTATGGTTTACTGTTACAGTCAATTGGTTTTGCTTTCATTTACATACTTTAACATTTTAAATATCACACTTCATTTTTTTAAATCTTACTTACCCTCTCGCATCATATTGAAAAAGTAAAGCATAATAACGTAACCAGTGTATTCAAACGTCCAGGATGAAACGCGTCAAAAGATGCTTTAGACTTTAGAATAGTATGAGAAATTACAAAGTCTGTGTCAAAAGTTGCCTTATCTACGCCTTTTCATAAAGAAGTATCGTATTCAATGGTGGAATTGAATTGTTCAAATACAGATGAGGAATAGTGGCATTGGCTTTGGATACCTTTATCCTGGCTTCTCATGCACACGTCTGTGCTGCAGCAGCATTAAGAAGAATCCTTTCCCTGGTTGAAGAGGACAAAGTCTTAAAACAGCCTCAGTCCAGTAGGGTTTCAGTTCACTGGACTGGAAAATCACGAGAAGTCAGTCAATCCCTGATAAAACAGAAGCTTGGTGTTGGTTGTGTGTGTTTTTATGTATGGAACGTTTGGTTGTGAATATGTGATGATGCCTCTTTTTTAAGAGTTCGACATTGTGTCTATTCATTTTGGTGATATCAGAGAGAAAACCCCGTTTACAAATACCTCGATTTGTTTAATTTAATAATGTTTAAGTTAGTAAAATAATCCACAAGTAAAAGAAGACATGAACCTACAAAGTACGTGTAAACCTACCTTAAAATTGTCAGCTGCTCTATGGACTTTAGAGGTTTAATCCGAACCAAGGACTTAACACTCCTTTCACAATACAGTTTCCACCTTCCGGTTGAAAACAGTAGCATAGATAAAACATACTCAGTAGCCTACGATTTTACTATGGTTTAGGACCTTACTGCGAGATAAATATATTTACACCGTCAAACATAAACAGTGTCCAATTGACAGGCCAGAGCCCGATAAACATTGCAACAGCTGATCTATTTGCACTGGCTGGTGGGCTTCTGTCGATTGAAGGGAACCGTGCAGTATGAAAGCTTGCATTTATTAACTACTACCTACTACCATAGACTAACCAACACAAGTAGACTTCTCATCCCATTGTAAATTTTGAAGCTCGTTTTTCATGTCTAGTTCATGTACGCCACACTGGGCGCTAGTGTCAACGAAATTTTGTTTCTATTATTTTAGGGTTAATTCCTTGATTTGTGCTTTACTGTTTTGTTAAATAACTAGGGGACAATTTATTGTTTATGATTATATCGTATTATTTGGTTAAACGAGGTTTTAAATGACTGTATTAACGGGAAACAAATTGTAAACAAAACACGACCTCTACATAAACCTTACAGAACTAACAATAAAATTGTCTTCAGCTGTTCCATTAGGATGAGAAATCTACTAAGGGAGTATGTTTTATTGTTCATGTGCCACTGACGCAAGGCCATGGCGCGACAAGAGTATATTACGTAGAACCATTGAGTATACACGTTACATGTATACTCAATGGTAGAAATTATTCTGGCGACCTGAACTATGAACATTTACTAAGTAACGGTACTTAGTAAGTACAGTAAGTAACGTTACTAAGTAACACCTACTACTATTGTGGCCTTATTTTAATACCCAACGAAATGAAAGTCTCAAAATATATTTCTGAAGGGTGTATAAGACGATTGTTCTGACGTGTCACCACTCCACATCCTCCCCACGTCACACTGGTCGTCCTTCCCTGCTGTAGGGGTGGTCTGGCGTGTCACTCTACCTGCTGGCCCATTGTTTTTCTGTCACCGCCTTTAGCAATTAAAGCTTCACCTCTTGTCTTTATCAGCTACGCATTCCTCGCACATTCGTATCCTCCCTCATTCAATCCTCTGTCAGAGGCTGAGCGGCACCTTCGTACAAGTTGACAAGATTGATGAAGTGAACTTGATGGCTTATAACAGACAGATCAGCTGAAATGAAAACTTGGAAAAAAGAAATATACAGGGTGTCCCGGAACTCTCTACCAATATTTTAGGGCATTGCTCCTGGGTAAGAAACATACCTAAATATCATATTTCAATTGCCCGGAAGTCCTTAGTTACTCACACAGCCACCATTTTGTTTTTTCAGTTATTAATTTTTTTTTAAAGAATGGCTAAACATACAAAATGGAAACTTTGCACAAACATTTATGACAACTAGACAAAGCTACACAAAAATTATGACGACTTTTTAATTTCATAAAACAAAATGGAATTTTGTTTCTTAAATAGCTCAAAAACCGTTGATTTTATAAAAATTTTAAATGGCCGCCATTTTGTTTTATGAATTTGAAAAATCGTCATATTTTTTTGTAGCTTTGTCTAGTTGTCATAAATGTTTGTGCAAAGTTTCAATTTCATATGTTTAACCATTCTTTAGAAAAAAATTAATAACTAAAAAAACAAAATGGCGGCTGTGTGTGTAACTAAGGACTTCCGGACAATTTAAATATGATATTTAGGTATGTTTCTTACCCAGGAGCAATGCCCTAAAATATTGGTAGAGAGTTCCGGGACACCCTGTATATACAAATATGGACCCACTATTATTCGTTTGAGCTGTCATCAAATGATCCTGGCTAAAAAGGATATCTCAAGTCAGTCATGATACAAAGAGCATCCGATTCATTCTATACTCACCTTAAAGTTTACCTATTCATGTTAAAAGACGTATACAACTTACTTAACTGTTTGAAGTGAAGTGATTGAACATTCATCTATTTAGGTACTCACAGAAAGAAATCAACGTTCTTGTATGAAAAATAAAACGTATACAGTATACATGTCTGTTTTTTATACAAGAGTATACATAATGAAAAAATACAATGAAACAAGGATTTGGATCGCAATTCTCAAGAAAAATTCTTATAATTATTATATACATACTAGGTTTAACACATTATAAAATGTAGGCTACATAATTAGCTTTCTCACCTGAGTACAATAATAACAATATCATTTTAATTTATGCTAGTAAATTTGTCCAATTTCAATGTAAATTATCAGAAAACATTGCCATATGTGTATATTTTTTACCCTATATTATACCTTACCTGTACTTCGTAAGTAGTATATAATTTTTTTATTTAGTTGCAGACAATTCAGGTCCTTTATACTCATTACCCTATTCATTATACTAACTTAACCTCATAATCGTCTAACCTCTTTGAAGTCATCATCAAACCTTCTTGCTTGAGAAGATCGGGTAACGTATTTCAATAACGTACTAGGGAAATAATGTAGTGTATACATGAAAATACGATAGTAAAATTAGTTGCATGGATCATTAGCCTGTTACCAATCATTGATACTAGACAACACTATTAATATACTGTATTTTTATGGCATTCGGTAAGGGATTTCCTCAACTGCACAAACCGTTGTCTAATGTAAACTCTGTATTGTTTTATGCTTACTTTCAGGAGAATGACGCCACATCAAAGGAAGTATGTTGTATATACACTATTTTACTAACAATTAAAGTATATATTTTGGATTTAAATGTCTGATAATGCATAGGCCTACTACAATAAGTTTAAATTATGCTGATTCTTGGGAATGACCTTTCGAACTTTATAGGTCAATAATTATGATTGGCTGTGTATATATATAAGTGCTTCGTACTATACAAAAAATATGAATGAAATCTCTTACTCCCAAGACAAACCTTTAGTAAGTTTGAGTAAAACAACAGAATTAAATAAATAAAGATTTCTTTGTTAAGCGTTTCTCTGGTACACCAGCTTTTCACAACAACTTGGTCGTCACTATGCTTAAGTTAACTAAAAAATTACTTACAGCTCATCATACCTTCGGTCTTTTAAGCTCGAAATGTAGCATATGAAGTAAGGTTTTGTTTTACCCTATTGATGTCGATTTTTCGACATATCATTGGTCTAATGTACTAATACAATCGTTATAGACGAAATTATTAAATCACTTACTAAACAGCTGCTTATTTGCATTAGCAGAATATAAAATAAGCTGGAAGTCGTTTTGAGAGGTTATCTTTAAATACAAATATTTTGTTTTCTAGCTTTGTTTTTTTAAATAATGATGGTATGTGACGAAAAATATAGTTCACCACACGGGCCAAAGGTGACTTTTTAACCCTCGCTCATTTTCCGACCTCGGCTTCGCATCGATCGTAAAACTTGACCTCGGATCAAAAAGAGTCACTTCAGGCCCTAGAGATGAAATATACTATTCAATGCGTCTTATCGGTAATAGACAGGGTATTGTTGACTACTATTCATTTCTTCTTATTTTACCAAAGTTAACAATATTCTTTGTCCAACTTCGTCAAGATATTTGTAATCTATCATTTGTGCAATGACATAACTGATTAGAAGAACGTAGCCGAAGACAATCCCATAAATTAGAAAAAAACAGGTAGGCCGAGTTTACATCGACACATTCAAGCATTGCTGAAAATTATAATATTCTTCTGAATTTAAACAGTAAATTTAAAACCTAAAGCAAGAGAAACTTAATTTATAGTCAATATCAGTACATTCAAAGGTTACCAAACATACAAGTCTCATGGTTGTTTACCTAGTGTATCCAAAGTCAATGCTTTACTGATCTCTGTCTTCTACAGGCTCTGAAGCCGTCCAACCACGCCACTCTCCAGAGTCTAGTGCACGCCCTGGGTGCCGACCCCCGGGTACCCGCCCCTGCATGTGTACCCCATCGTCTGTCCCCCGTCACCCTGCTGTACTTCGACCACACACTCAACGTCGTCCTCAAGAACTACCCCAGCATGGTCGTCGAGTCCTGTGCCTGCCGTTGAACACGACTTTGGTAAATGCTGGGTAATGGGGACCAAGTGGTCAACTGGTCAACCCTTTTGTAATTTAATGGTGATAGATTGAAATCAACACCCATCTTTGCCTATGGTAGGAATTATTCTTACGAAGAAGTTTAATCGTAATGGATAAACAAATTTATTTCTAATACCTATTGTTCGTAGATAGAGGTGCTAAAAGATGTTGTTTGAATTTCAGTAAATCATAAAATAACTATATAGTCCATTAAACCCATTACAATAACAAATCTAGTGTTATTATAAATCTATTGTTATCAGGTATCTGTCATCTGGTATGCTAAAGATAGTAAGATTTGTCAAATAACTATCATTGGTTTACATTTAATGGGAGATATAAGTACGAGGTTATGGTGTGAAAGGAAGTGAAAAGGTTGCATTTACAATATTATAGTAGATTCACTGTCTTATAAAATCACAAATAAAGTTTTCCTCAACAGGGTTACTGTCAACTCCTCCAAATATTTTCGGTAGCCTAGGTAGGGACTGTTTAATGAGGTATTTTGCCAAGTTGGACCTGGTGGTAGCAGTCAGCTGTTTTAGCGCGGGAAACACTTTATCTCCAGTTCTCTCTAAACAGGAGATAAGTCGGCAAAGCTCTCAACCCACGTCCTTGTAACCCTAATGTGTTTTTATAAACGAGACCGTCCTTCGTCCTTCTACCTTCCGCCGAATTCGACTGTTCTTTCACTCTTTGTTTACCCTCCTTTTAATCCTTACTTGGTATATTACAGCGAAATAATCAAACAAAACTGTAAACCTTTTTCATAGTTGACTAATTATATAAAAACACCTTGAACACCAAATAAAAAACTGTTAAAACAATATAATCACGAACGACCAAACGACTTGCATTTTGTTTTCGATTCTGCTAATGCAAATAAGCAGCTGTTTAGTAAGTTATTCAATTATTTCGTCTAATACGATTGTGTTTTCATACCATCGATATGTTGAGCAATCGACAACAATAGGCTAAAACCTTACCGGATAAATATAAACCAACGGATAAATAATTTCGATCGATACGATTGCCACAATCGAAATTTACAACACTATTTACAACAGCTTATTTTTACTCATTAGAGAGTAAAAATGCTACTTTAGACCCGCAACGCATGCATTAAAAACGGCTGTGTTTGCTGCAATATGACGAAAAGTCAATTTATCTTTGTTTCGCAGTTTCGTAATCAGCTGTTGTAAATTTAGATCGTAGCAATCGTTAAAATTATTTATCGAATGATTTATTGGGTAAGGTCTTTTGTTGTCGATTGCTCGACATATTGATGGTATAATGTACTGTAACACAATCGTAATAGACGAAATGATTGAATCACATACTAAACAGCTGCTTATTTGCATTAGCAAAATTGAAACAAACTGGAAGTCGGTTTGAGATGTTATCTTTACATAAAAATTATTTCGTTTTCTAGATTTGTTTGTTAATTAATTATGCAATATGACGAAAAATATAGTTCACCACACGGGCAAAAAGCGACTTTTTAACCCTCGCTCATTTTCCGCCTCGATCGTAAAACTTGACCTCCTCGGGTCAAAAAGAGTCACTTTTGATGAAATATACTATTACTGTAAACAATAGCATCTTTTATGTCACACTGATTTCAAAGGGTGAGAAGATAAGAAGAAAACATACGTATTACAATTTAAGAGAGACTCGTCCAACTTGGTTCTGTTTGAATTGAAAATCACAACTGCTAATCCATATAAATGGAATATCTACCTTAGCATCTAACTGCCAATTCAGCAACTCGGTATAAGTACCTACTGCCTCTTGGTCGTGGATGATAATACAATAGTTCTGTATTTGAGCAACTATTAATGTCACACGGATGGCGAAGGAAGGCGTGAGGTTATCACCCAAAGGAAATGTGAGACGAGGCTACCCGGTAGCGATAATAAAAATATTCAGGGTTTGAAAATATTTTTCCACTGGTGCAATGATGGTTGAGGGCCCTCATACCCTTTACTCTTATATGAGCAATGTTTGCTTGTATGTATGTTTGCTTGCACAACGATCTCGAAAACGGCTTCGACGAATTCATTCAAATGTTGTAAATAATTTATTTCTGGCATAAAACGGGATAGACGACAGCCACTACCCTAGGCAAATTCGTGTTTCGCTACACTGCTCATTTATAGTATATTTCACTACTAGAGACTCGCATTTAAAACACTATCTCGCCCCGAAATGTGACTTTCGTGACGAGTATTGAATGATACTTTTTATCACGATGAAAAAACTACTTAATCAAACTTAAAAAATATCTGATATTTCCTAATCTATTCATTTGTCTTCAGTTGTAACTTTGTTGGTGTCAGGCAAAGTAATGTTTGTGTAGCGAAAGTAATGTTTATGTCAGGAAAAGTCAGCTGATCACTAATTGTTTTTGGTATATGGATATTGACGATTTTCGAAGATCTCAGCTGTATGGAAATGGGCTATTTTCGAATACAGAGTGATGAAAAACATTAACATTGGCCTTATGGGTTGCCTAGTCTAGTAACTATGTTGGTTAACCAAAATAACAAGGAAAAACTAAACAAAAGACTTGTAACATGTGTTGATAACAAACCATCCACAATACTAGCAAATTACAATACACAACATCAGTTGTTACTATTAAGCAAAGATTACACTGATTACTCGATATAGGGGGAAATAGTTCCGATCAAATACTGATTATTTTACTTGGCTAGCCAACCAAAACTTAATCTCCGAAGTACTGAGGCAATTGTTAGCAAACTTTAGTTTAACAGTGTAATAAATATTTATAAGAGTTTAAACAAACATTTTCAATAAGCTGTTTTAATTCAAACAAACTGTTTAAGGCTATTATAAACGAGTGAATTATACCTTCGACTGTAAAATAAATTAATGTGTTGTGGACTGGCAGGTTAAGATTTCCATCATAATTGATCATAATTCAATTATATGATCATCATATGATCATAATTGATCATAATTGATGGAAATCTTAACCTGGTAGTCCACAACACATTAATTTAACTTAGTTAGTTTTGATTGTAAAATCAAGGAAACTCACGTTTAATTTATAACTTGATTTTTGCTTTTATTGTTTAAGTTTCAGTGGAATATTAATGTATTAACATTAATATTCCACTGAAACTTAAACAATAAAAGCAAAAATCAAGTTATAAATTAAACGTGAGTTTCCTTGATTTTACAATCAAAACTAACTATACCGAGCCATCTCGGTCCCCCCGGGCCCCGGTACTGTTCTATTATCAACCAAGAAAACTAAAAGAGAAATCAGTACTGTACATTAAATCAAAACCAAATACTAAAATGTACTGGAATTAAATACTATTCTTATTCAGGTTAACTTAGGCTTTGATAGTCCTTTCTTATAGTAAACCTTTAAATAAATGAATAGTAATAACATTTATTTCATTAAAAAATAGAAAAGTTTGTAATATAGCAAATAACATCAACTTATTTTGTTTTCCTAAAATTCAGTTACATGCACACACTCTCCACTGAAACCTGACTGGATGCACGCCATCTCGTCATTAGCAGTGTGTAACTGCAGCTGTAAGCCAAACATAGATAAAAAAAACAGCCGATTTATGAAATTATATAAAAAATATCTTTTCCTACAGTCACCCAACAAAGTAGGCTTCCTTGCACAGATTATAGTACAGAAAGCCTTACTTTGGCACACACTAGTTTTTCAACCTAACAACACAAAATGGCGTGCTTTTATTATGCACGTAATTCGTGTGCGCTTGAAAATAAGTTGGCAACACTTAAAGATATTAAGACTACGATCAGCTGGTGCAGCGTTTCCCATTTCGTTGAATGTTTGGATTTAGTAAACCTAAAAACGTGTTATACAGTGTTTGAAGGACTAATTATTTATATGATTTATAGTAACTGTAGGAAACAAATATAAGAAAATTTCCACACTCGCTTACGGATCGTGCGTAAAACATTTCTCTCGTGCGCAGGAAAGTCCCACTTCGCCCCCTAGTTACACAAATAACTATTATAAGGAATACATTTACAAAAGAGGGCCAGAAAGTTCGAAGTCCGTATATACTTAAGAAGGCTACAGCAGGGACTACAATGGATTTAAATACCAAGTTGATTCAGTTGTTTATCTTTTCCAGACCCCAGAAATGGCCTCGGCATCATGTTTGGTGAAGATGTTCCTTCAGAGTTCAGGACTCACAACGATGGACTGTTATGTGTCATACTTTACATGTACCATTAAGAATATTTATAAGAACGTATGTATAAGGATTGTCCGTAGATATCCGTATGATGTGCTGTTTTTTACAATGTAGATTAGAAATCATATTTATTGTAATTGTCTTGACTTCAAAAAGTATTTATAGCCATAAGATTTAGTATATATCTGTTTGTGCCCAATATTTCCTTCTGATATAGAATAACCATTGACTATAGATGGACTAACGTGAACAAGACATTTTATTTCTAAGTTTAAGCTATAACCAGTTTTAGAATAAAAAAGAAACTTGTTCGATTGAGATTGAGCCAACGATAGTGCTCAGTCCCACTGAAAACGTTGTTTATTTAAGATAGGTACACCAACTTTATAATCATGTTAAGCTGAAACAATAACTTACTTTGCGCCATAATATCTTTGTTATGAGGACGTTGATGGCGATTAACTATGACGGTTTTAAAACTAAAAGAATAAAAGAAAACTTCAACTCTAACATCGCACAAGCAAGACTCATTCTACTATGTCTTTTATTGTAAAAAAAAAAAAAAAAACTGGTGACCTGTTAATATAGATGGAATGTATACTTCAATATAGAAAATCAATGTTGTAACATTATGAATATATCGTAAGTAAACATTATCCTGTAAATGGCATAGTTGTATAAAGTGATTAAATTACTTTGTGCTGGTAGGATAGATAAAAGAGTGTCTACTCCTTTATTCTATGGTGGTAGTCTCAGTTATGTTATCCCTCTAATTAATTCCCTTATTTGCATTTTTTAACACCCGAACTGTAGCGAACTCGCCATCTAAACCAATCTTCAGTTGCTACATTGAATTGGGTTTAGAATACGTCCATATATACAATGTAGTCTATACAACAATGGATATCTGGATAGCTATTTGTATAGTGAAATAAATTTCTCCTTTCCTATTCAGTCGAAGGTACAGTATTAACATTTTACTGATTTGGTTGAAATTATATCCAATATATTAAAAAACTTTTGCAAAACTTATGACAGCTAGCCGTTGGACCGAATTACACGTGGGTTGTACCAAATGCAGGTTTTATTTGTATTTGGATATATGTTAATTGGTTCAAAAATGCAAACTAAACTTTTCTTATGGAGATTTAACATGCGGCCAAAATCTTTGCTTACGACAGCCACCCTGACCATACTACTGGACCGATATACACGCGGATGTTGTACCAAAAGAAAGGTTATTGGTCCTATGTGCAGGTTTTATTTGTATTTTGATAATATTTCCGAGTTTTCTACAGACATAAAACACATCGGAGGTTCAGAAAACATTGTTGCCGATGCTTTATCACGTGTAGAGGCTATTTCATGTTCATTGGACCCTGAGTCAATTGCCAAAGCACAAAGCTCAGATGACGAACTCGTCAACCTCATAAACAATAACAATTCATCTCTCAAAATACAGAAGATCCAAATCCCTGGAACAAAGTCATTCATCTTTTGCGAAACTTCAACAGGGACCCAAAGACCTTATATACTTGTATTCTTTCAGTCGAACTACGGAAAAGGGTATTTCATTCGCTACATGACCTCAGCCACCCAGGCATTAAAGCTACTTCAAAACTTGTATGAGATCGATTTGTCTGGCCAAGTATGCAAAAAGATTGTCGTAACTGGGCTCGTACTTGTGAGCGATGCCAACGTTGCAAGGTAACGCGACATGTTCATGCTCCTCTAGGAACATTTTCTTTGCCATCATTACGTTTTGAGCACATCCATGTCGACATAATTGGGCCTTTGCCATACCAGCAGGACCATACAAATACTGCCTTACAGTCATAGACCATTACACTAGGTTGGCCTGAGGTTCATCCTTTAAAGGGGATTATTTTATTTACTCGTATTTATTTATTTATTTATTTATTTAGATAACAATACACTACATTACAGGCATAGAGCCAAATTACAATGCAGCATTAATCTTTAAGTCCATTTTAGAAAGTTCATGCAGTCTTCTTGGTAGGTACACACAACATCACAATTTACATAATATTTAACTACTAAGACAAGATAACAACCAATAAATAATTACTGCAGAAGAAGTCGCCGAAGGTCTAGTCTCGTGCTGGTTTTATCGTTATGGTGCTCCTCAAGGCCACCAATTCGAATCTTCCCTCTTCAAGTCCCTCGAAAAAACTTCCGGCTTTGAAAGAATCAGGAGTTGCAGTTACCATCCCTGTGCCAATGGATTGGTGGAGGGATTCCATCGTCATCTCAAATCTTCACTGATGTGTCATCATGATTCATCCTGGCTGGAAGCTCTTCCAATTGTCCTCCTAGGTATAAGAAGTGCGTACCACGACGATCTTCAAGCATCAACGGCAGAAATCGTTTTCGGACAGCAGTTGAGACTTCCAGGAAAATTGTTTGATCTCCCTGTTGACAGACCCAGGCATGAAGATCCTAGTGATTAGGTAGTACGACTCCGTCAACACATGTCTTCAATAAGACCTGCCCAAGCTTCACGCCACGTCAACCCTAAAACTTTTATATTTCAGGATCTTAGAAAGTGCACCAATGTTTTCATAAGAGATCACTCTGTGAAACGTGCTCTACAGCCTCTCTACAACGGACCATATCCTGTAATTTCTCGTGACGAAAAACTCCTTAATAATATCACAGAATGGCAAACAAGTACGAGTAAGCTTAGACAGGGTGAACCCTGCATGTGTGTTACCCGAAAAATGTAGTCATCCAACAATCAAAAAGTCTCAAAATATAAATACAACCTTCAAACACATCCCTCAATTCCCCGAACCCAGCATCATTATTCAGAAGCTATACAACTCGTTCTGGTAGAAAAGTAAAGCTCAAGCTCAAGCTTCCTGGACTTCCAGTCTCTGTGGGGGGCTGATGTGGCGTCAACTTAGCCACAGCTGTGATACCTTTGGTCTATACTTAATTTTAATATACAGGGTGTCCATAAAAAACGTTTCAGGACTTTGGGAAATGGATCCCCATACTAAAAGGAAGAAAAAAGTTTATGGGAAGGTATGTCCGAAAATGCATATTTACCCAGATATCCGCCATTTTGTTTTTTATACAAAAATATTTTTATCTGTGAAGTTTTTTATTCGATGATTATGAAATTTGGTAAACATGTTAACATACACAATACCTATAATAGAAAAAATAATAAATTTGTTCCGATTGTAAATTTCAAAATGGCGGCCATTTGAATTTTTCTAACTTAAGTAACTCAAAAACGGCTAATTCTATGAAAAAAGTTAAGGGTAGTTTCTTTTAGCATTTTTAATTGCCTATCGAACAATACCAAGATCAAAAAGATCGGACAAAAGGTAACTGAAATATTACGTTTTTTCTGTAAAAATAAGGCAATGTTAGTCGGGGAACCCTCAATTTTTGCCTTATTTTTACAGAAAAAACTTAATATTTCAGTTATCTTTTGTCCGATCTTTTTGATCTTGGTATTGTTTGATAGGGAATAAAAAATGCTAAAAAAAAGTATTCTTGACATTTTTTCATAGAATTAGCCGTTTTCGAGTTATTTAAGTTAGAAAAAATCAACCGGCCGCCATTTTGAAATTTACAATCGGAACAACTTTATTATTTTTTCTATAATAGGTCTTGTGTATGGTAACATGTTTACCAAGTTTCATAATCATCGAATAAAAAACTTCACAGATAAAAATATTTTTGTATAAAAAACAAAATGGGGGATATCTGGGTAAATATGCATTTTCGGACATACCTTCCCATAATCTTTTTTCTTCCTTTTAGTATGGGGATCCATTTCCCAAAGTCCTGAAACGTTTTTTATGGACACCCTGTATATTATGTAACAGCTGTTGTTAATTTTGTTAAAATAATTAGTTTTGACTATGTTATGATTTAGCACAATTCTTCATTCATTTGCAAATAAAACTTTATCAAAATATTCGTTCATATAGTGGTGATATTATTGCATACAGATTAACCATCACTATAAGTCAAAAATAGAAATAAAACTTTTCTTATGGATATTTAACATGGGGCCAAAATTTTAAGCTTACGAAAGCCCTGACTATACTACTGAACCGATTTACACACGGGTTTCAAAAGAATAGGTTATCGGTCCATATGTGCAGGTTTTATTTGTATTTTGAAAATATTTATGTTAATTGGGTCAAAAATTGAAATAAAACTTTTCATATGGAAATTTAACATGGGCTAATTCTATAGGCCTAAAACAAGAATGTTTATCGAAAACCTTTTTTTCAGCTACTGTGCATCGCATGGAAAATATACGCACACTGTTAGAAATATATTTGCCTAATAGATGTGCAGAATCCCTTTATAAATCAAAATAGGCTAAAAAATAAACACAAACAATTAATTTAAAATTAAAAATTTAACATGGGCCTTACGGGTTGCCATATTAGTAACAAAATAACAACATAAATATAAACAGAAAATCAAAACAAATTGAAGAAATTCCAATCACATGTTTAATTAATTAATTAATTATAGCGTGGGGTGAAACTAGAGAAATTTGCACCGTACATACTTTTGATGGAGTTTTTGACCACTAGTCAGCTCTAGTATGAATACTATAACAAATGGGAAGTTTAAAAATTGGCTATAGTAATAATTGAATTTTATTACTGTAATTACTAACTCCTAACGTTTAATAACTCATATAAATTCAACTACCTTTCAAGCTTTGACTATTGATACAGAGTATCAGTATCTTTATTCTTTATATTACCTTGATACTCTTCTTTATCCCATGTATTGATAGTCAATGCTTTCAAGTTTTAAAGTTTTTTTGTGCTTTCAGGTCAAGTTTTCAATCATTTAGGTTAAAATTGACAACATAAAATGCGGAAGGATTTAATACCTACCGTTCGCTACAAGTGTATAGCCTACAATGAATTTGGTTGCATGATTTGCAATAAGAATTATTGAAGTTCCCCTTTTAATATTTAGTTAGTTATGTAATAATGGTTAATTAGCTCAGTAGTTAGTCTTAACTGATTGAGTTTATCTGTAAAAAAATTATGGGGGGGGGGGTCAAGGGCCCACCCCTAGGACCGCCCTTGCCAATTATATGCTGTATGTAAAAAAATGACGTTTTTTTTACTAAAAAGTACTGGCTTTTGGCCATTCTCTTACCTTACAAAACAAATCAATGAAACATACCAGTGCCAGAGAGGCGTAAAAATAAATATGAACTTAGTGATAAATATAAGCCACCTAAGATTGACAGCCCCTGTGTAAAAGGAGTTTCAATACTGAACATTTACACGTACCTGGTCTAGTAAGTAAACATAAAAACATATAATGTTACAAAGACATATATGTTACATTTCTAAATAGTCAAAATGAGCAAACTGAGCTTACGATACATTTACTCATATTTAACATGTAATTATGATACTAAAGACACTCTTGATAGACCCCTTTCAATATCCCCTAATCCTTTTCTTGGGAAGGCACTCTGGGTTGACAGCGCATGTTAGTCACCTTGACAGCGAAGCTGCCAATTAAGCTGACTTATTTTTCGTATTCACGTAGTCGCGAGGTCCAGTCCAAGCGTCCAAAATTGACTCCATCATCCGCTCACCGTATTCCTTTGGAAGAAGAGGCTGGAGGCCAATTGAGGAAGTTGGTCCTAAAACACATGATCCACGGTCCATGTGGTAATGCTCAAAGAACTGATTTCCTCTGTTGGAATCCTGCAAAGGGCTACAGCTTAAAATATTTCCCCAAGCCCTTGTGTGAAACTAAACTACTCACGTTGAGAGAGGAGATTCATACAGTACAAAATTGATTACACCAGTCAATTAGGGTTAATTAATTGTATCAAGAAATGAAAACATTACCGCGTACAAGATGGTTGGGTTGTGCCGTATAACGCCAACCATAATAAACAGCATCCAACTCAACTAACTATGAAACTAACTGTGACGGTAGATATTACACTTATGCTGTAATATGAAGCCCACGTCAATTTGGATTAGATTTGGCGTCTACCCACAGCGTAATTTAGCTCATTTAAAAATATCTTATGAAGGGAGGATCTCTCCGCAGAACGTCACACAGTTACTCTAATCAGTAAGCAAGATGATGAGGTACAGCATTACGTGACGAAGAGAATAGTGACGCATGCTGGTGACAAAATGACAAGCCAAAACTAACAATATCGATTATGTTTCTAGAGTCAAATGCTTTTACCGTTCATAAACATTGTTATAGTGACAGTAACAATACGTTTGAAAACTCTTCACAGACTAAGCTCAATTTTGCCAGAACTTTCTAAGTTGGAAATTGTACGCTCAACCATTTTTCCTGTTATATACTATGCTCGTCCTGCTTTTTCCTGTTGCCTTACCCAGAAAAATCTGATGATCCTTACCCGGCTGCAGAACAGAGTGCTTAGATTTGTCTACAATCTGAAAAAATTTGATCACATTAGTGAGCACAGATTGAGTGCCAAGGTGTTGTCAATCATGGGGTACTCTGACATACAAACTGTAAATCTAGTCCACAAAGTTCTTCAGACGGGAAAACCTGAATACCTCAGGAAAAAGTTGGTATTTAGACATGAAATAAGTGAACACAGTACTCGACAGGACAGCCTGTTGCACTTGCCAAAGACAAAACTGGAAACGGGGAAGAAGGGGTTTAGTTTCTTTGGCCCAAAAAAGTACAATGCTTTGCCCACTTTAAAAGAGTACAGTTGTAATAGGTTTAAGAAATGTTTAAAGGAAATGTTTACCTAAACTGTATGGATAATTTTGTTTTTGATTTTATGAATAGACTATTGTATTGTTTTATTTACTTAATTGGGCCAAAGTTGTCATGAAAAACAGAGTTTGTACTTTGATGAACGCTTGGAAATAAAGACCTTATTTATTTATTTATAGTGTTTGGTTTGCCCATTTTGCAAACAACTACTAACAACTACTACTGTAGTGAGATTTTTTGCAAGCTTGGTTTCTTATGGTTTCTTTGTCCAGCAATTGCAGGATGAAAATTGGAAGCAACCACAACTCAGTGTACATCGAGGCTGCCTGGTCTATTAAACCGAAGCCTGCTAAGCAAACTAGAGGGAAAAAAAGATTTGATGTTGTCACCTGGTGTGGTGGCGTGTCGTCTGAACTGAAAAACTGAACTGTCTGTTCTGTTCATTGCCATTGTTCGTTCGTTCATCGTTGTTTTTGTTGTGTTGTGTTGGACACAAGACACAACACACAATTTTTACATTTTTTGTCAATCAGTCATCACTTATCTTAACTGACTGTTTGGTCTAATTCACTGTAAAATATTGTAAATGAATTAGAGTGTTTTTTATATACCTGAAGGATTTTGCCTTCCCTAAGTTAACCATAACGAGAATAGTTTGCGAACAAAAATGAGTGAGACCATGGCTGTACCTTCGGATGTGAATGGCAGTATCGTTGTTGAAACAAACATAAACTTTTTTGATTTGAAATATGTCCACGACAATTTTGTCGCTTGTCTAATCAACGATGGTGACATTTCGTTAGATATGTACCTAAACGCCTATCGGGAATTGCAAAAGTAAGTTGAAGTACCTAGGCCTAGTTTTAAACATACAACATAGGCCTAGGCTCCTTCGTACTTAGTCCTAACCTCCATCTACAATTTTAGGGAATTATTGTAAAATATTTACAGCTATGCCTTATACGAAATCTTATCATCAATGTTACTCGTGCTTGTGCCTAACTTATGCTAAGTACCTGGTTCTCACCATACTCATAGAGTTACACTGACTTACCACTTACTTGTCTTTGGGCCCTAAATACTATGCCGTCTCTGACAATACATCCATTGTACTCTTCCTTGACAAATGTTTAACCAACATAATACCTTTCATTGACCATTCCATATGCAATTGTAAGCTATTGTCTATTGGGAAATAACTTAAATCTTTGATTTTATTTGAATATTCTGCCTTTGACAGTGCATGCTAATCTATGTCATACCTACAGTGATTATCTCACTGTTTTAGATCTATTTGGGTTTAGCCTAGTAGTTAGCCTAATCCTAGATGGGTATCGCACGTAAATTTGACGTAATGGGAGTTATTTTTAGCGTCTTACCCCCCACCCCCTCAACTGACAATACCCTCCTTCCGGCAGTGCTCTTAGCAGTCATATGTCTTGCGATAACTTGGTCAGTTTCTTGGAACGTATACGTGAAACTTACATGTCAATACCCTTTGTGAATAATAAAATGGCCGGCTTGTGTATGGTAAAACGGCTGGCAGTACATCATTTTTACATATTGATACCCTCAGTGTCACACTGTATGACGATATTTACCTTTCTATGCAATTCTTATGTAGGTCAAATTTAAGTATTGATGCCCTTAGTGTCATGCTGTAGGGCAATACCTTTCTAGGGTTAACTTAAATTTATTTTTACTGTATATCTTGGTATTAAAATAGGCCTAGTTATAGCCTACCTACTCAACCTAACATTAGGCCTACTCAAAGCAGTTGTGCGGTACCTACTCAATGACACAGCACAGATTGGACTGGGAACAAATGAAAGGTGAATCAAGACTTAATGTAGGCCTAAGTGTTAGTTAACACGTTCGCTGCGGGCCATCAAATGGCAGGCGTAGCCCCAGTGCGGCGCATTCTGCAGCGTCGAACAAACCCGATTGCCGGGTGAATGGCTCTCATATTTCGGGAAATGACGAATAGTAAATAACGAGCGGTGATGTCCTGCTTTATAACGAGAGTCGACGTAGTTCGCTAAACATTCACAGATAGCAGCACTGCTTGGAACGTAGCCGTTCCCATTGTATTGCCAATTGGAGGGAGAAATACGGGACAACAAGTTGATTTTTAACTTTGCCAGACGGGGATTTTATGGGGAAATTTTACTACCAACCTACAACACAACAAAAAGCAAGTCACCCACTACACGCTAACGTGGTATAGGTCCGCCTTCGACCGACGCTATCTGAGCAAAAACGAAGATATACGAAAGGCATTTTCCGATCGGTTACGGCAGCACCTGAACAGTGCTCAGCCCGTATCCGATCGGATACGCCCGCAGTGAACGTGTTAAAAATCTGTTTTAATAAATACAGGCTGTGATTTATTAAAATTTGAGTTAAGTTGGGCTAATCTGTTTTTCAAGATCCCAGATGGAAATAACAAAATAAATCATATGCTTAAACAGAGAAATGAACTCCAAAGTAAATCCAAAGGTTTAATGTGGAAAAATATTGTAACTTATGTACCTAACTCATTCAAAATATGTTTACTGTTAGTACTTTTAAGTTATGGTAATCCTACGGGAGACGGTAGATACATATTTTCTGGTCTAGTAACGCAATATACTTACTATTACCAGATTTTGCTCATTTTTCAGTGAGGTGTACTGTAACTAACTGCTAGCCTAACTTTCAGTAGGCTACTGTCTGCAATCTGGTAATAATCATAAGGTAGAAAACTTATCCAGTTAGGCCTATATTTATCGATTATAAACTACTGTATAATGGTTAAACCTTTGGCCAACTAAGTAATGGTTCAATTTACCAATATAAGAAGTTGAGGGAACTGACCTACCTAATTGACAACATATACCTACTAATTAATGTTAGTTTTGAAAAAGTTTATTATGATTAGAGGGACCTAACTTATTTGGGTTTTTATGATAAATCTTTACAAAGATGACTGCAGTAGTCTAATGATAAACCTCCATATACCAACTAAATAGGCTAACAGCGCCGCTGTTTAAATGCTTTTAATGTGAAGCTTACTTCAACTGGTGTCTCTTTATGTATGGCACAGAAATGCAATTAGGCTATGTATGAATTTATGAAATATTTCAAAGCCAGGTGAACCCTTAAGTTTTTGGTTATAATATGTACCACCGGTATATCCTTCTTTAGCTCTTCAGTTTAAACTAGTTAAGACTGGGACCCATCATTCAAATCTTTTTCAGGTTTTGCAATCTCATGGGAACTGTATTTGGATTTGTTGGTTCTGAAATAGGCAGCAAAATGGATGCGCTAGAGCAAGTACGAGCAAAGGACAAGTCAGGACATTTTTCAACAATGAAAAAAATGGTTGAATACGAAACAGAAAATGGACTGTTGAAAGAAAGTTCTTATGTTTCTGGTAGCAGAACATTGTTAAGACTTCATCGAGGACTAGGTAAGTTTGTTTTTAGCTGGAAACAATTACAAACGTCATTAATATTTACTGTATTGGGATTGATAAAATGAAAACTAGTTGTTTCAGTGCCACTTTCTTGGCTAAAACACTATTAATTACTTAACTTTGAAACATTAATCCAGACCCCATTAAACTTATTTTGTTTATTCCCGATAGCCATTTCATGGCAATGATGGCTCGTTATTTATTTTTGTGATATTATAGGCCTACTTGTGGAAATTATTTATGAACATTTTTCGGAACTTCTTTGGATTAGTGCTCGTTATGCTTACCATACCTGTGTCTGGACTAGCAAAAAGCAAGACGATTTTTTATCCAGCCAAGGGCTCAGTTCCGTGGTGACCAGATAAGAGAGGTTCTATTGTATAGGAATATAGGTGAATGTGTTTCCACCATAAGGTAAACGGTGTCATTGTGACCCACAGATTTCCTGAGGCAGTTTTTGAAGAGAGTTGGAGAGCTTCAACCAGAAGAAAAGACAAACACTGTTGGACAGGAGGTATATAACCAGACACTAGCCAAGTACCACCCCTGGCTGGTGAGGAAGGGGGCAGTCCTGGCCATGTATGTGCTGCCTACCAGGAATGTGCTTCTCCATAGGGTAAGTCATAAAAGTAATCGTTATACGAGAATTGTTGGTAAATTAAGGTCTTCACTGAGCTCCCGTTGCATAAAAAAAATGTTTGAATGTTGAAATTGTGTGCAAGTGGTGGAGGTGGTCTTAAATATACAGGTTTTCATGGTGTAGGCCGACTGCTATTATTTTTCAGTCTCGTTGAACGAGAGAAATTTTCAAACTAATAGGAGATGTCTCTAAAGTTATTAATCATGATTCAAAAGTTTCCTTAAGTTCAATCACAGTCTCGGTGGAATCTGATAAACATTCAGGGCACACAACACACAATAAACATGTGTGCTTTAGTATTATATGCTTTAGTATTATAACGACCACAACTATAAGTTGACTTCCAAATAAGATTTTAATCAGTTTAAACACAATCTTCCTAACTTAAGCTAAAACATAGTCCAACCTTAGGTTAGGTTATAATTATTAGATGTGGTTGGTATAGTACCAAAATATGTATTGTTCTGACAATATGCATGGGTTTCCGCAATCGCTCTCTGATACTAATGCACATCCTAAATTAAAAAAATCATTTAGGATGATTTAAAAAATTTTCTAATTGTGTTACCGTATACACATTTGTCAATCAACAGGGATTGACCTTCTTCCTGCAGAAACGTTAATTTTCTTTCACAACGGTTTTGAATATTATGACAAGACTAATCATCCCATAGAAGTGGAAACCAGCTAATCATCCAAATTTACGAAGTTGGTCTCGGATTTGACTAGCTTTTTTGGCTGCAATAGGAGCGCGATGGAGTTATTAACTTACACACAACCCTTGAACGAACAAATAACTTTTTAGTTTTTGTTTACCATGTTTTAATTAAAAAGCTAAAAAGATACAGAGCCATTTTATTTCGTTAGCTTTTGAGGGGTTTGACATAAAAAATACACATTGATGAAGTGCTGCAAAAATCTTATGCTTGGGCTACAGTACAAAAGTAAACAAAGGATTTTTTTCTGGTGAATGCTTTCTATGTTATATTGTTGTGTTTTATTAATAAAAGAATAGATATGAATAACTTAATGAACTCAATTTATTGAAAATGTAAACTCATGTAAAACTGTAAAATCCAAACGTAAAACAATCGTAATAAAATAATGATCAGCTGATCAGCTGGTAGGTCTATAGCAGTTATCAAATGGAAGCTCCTACACTAGAAGGGATATGATGCATGGCAAAACGCCACATCACGACTATTTCAGAATTTGGTGAATCCTTAAGAGAGTATTCAATCAAAATTTTCTGGTTGTAGCATTTTGTTTTACCTTGTTCAAGGCCCCACTAGAAAAACAGGCCATGCTGCAGGATTCATGACGTCACACTAGTGGATGGATTTCATTGATAAATTCATTTCAATCACCATTCCCATATGTTTTAGGTAAATAAACAAGCTGGCTGTTTGTAAGATTTTAATGTTAAGAGTTTAGTACAACTATCTACCACTGTGACGTAGTGTTGCGCCCGTGCTGCAGCATGGCCTGTTTTTTCTAGTGGGGCCTTGATTTGTTGCTTACTTACCCGTCTAAGGCGCTTGGGTACACTAGACAAGAAAGGAAACAAAAAGGGCACAGAAAAGAACTATCGGGTTAGATGTATTGGCACTCAGTCGGGAATTGTTCAGATACTTGCCTGCATATACTGTTAAAAGATATTCTTCCTGGCAGTTTTCTTTCTGTTTCCAATTTGTTTCCTTTCCTGTCTTTTCTATTAACTGGAACTGTCTAAACTGTCGCTACCCAAAAAAATTACAACTTGTATCATCACAACTAGGCCTACCTTAGACCTCTTGAATAACAGCCAAAAGAATAAATTACTTTGGCCTAAAAAATTTAGTTGGCTTGTTTTGAAGGTTAACACATATTGTGCGGCATTGACACCTGGGTGTGGGGGGGGGGGGGGGGGTTCGAGCGAGTAATACTAACCTCAATCTGTCACTAAAGCCAGGCAATCTCTAGCCCTTTGTTTGGCATAGCCACTAATGCTAGAAGGATTGAATTTGCTGGAATTTTGAGGTTATACATTGTGCTAGTGTACAGTGTGCTTTTTTGTGGCTTCTGGAGTCTTTTTGTTGGTATGAATTTTGCCATTCTTTCTTTGCATTTGGTTGACTTGTTAGCAGTTGTCCAATGCTTTGTTTGTTGTATAACTACATCCAGAAACATTAGGGATATACTGTGGATCTTCTGGTGGATAAAACAGAAACAAAACTTCTCACACTCATCCATACAGCACATTGGTTGTTCTCGCTCTTGTTGGCAGGCCAATACACAACAGCAGCGAATGTGTTGAAGAAATAATTCACATCCTATCAGCTGTGAAGGATACCTATGTATGAACCAGAGTTTGTTTGTACTTCTGACATATACCAATGAGGTTAAGAGTTAGTTTTTTTCTCTTGTAGGTTTGTGGAGAAAACACTCAGTCTGCCTTGGACGCTCTCCCTGAGATGCTGGAGTCGACCAATGAAGTTTACAATCGAACCGAGAACTACTTCAAAGAAATGGATTTGTTGAACCTACCATAAGTTTTGCTCATTCTTTAATGGCTGTGATAACATATTTATACCAACCTAATGTATTATTTAGCTTAGAATATGAGTCAGAACTGCAGCGCTCACTTGCACAGGGAAAGTGATTCTTGCAATAATTTTCACCAAAAATATTTAGTTAAGGCAATTAAAGTAGGCTACCAGTAATGAATAGTAAAGTGAAATTTATTCTTAATGGAAAAGAGTATTAAAACAACCTGTTTTGGATGGATATTAAAGATTTTACAATTTTACCTAAGAACAGACCGTTTATCAAATTTTGTATGTTTACCCATTGTTAATTATTTGATTGAAAAGGTATATTTTAGCATTTCTTAACCTTATTCCAACAGCTTCTTATTAAGCTCATCAACCCATTATTTCCCATGAGTCATTTTCCATACCAGAGTTGGACATCCCTACTGCTAATTTTCAGCATTTTCTGCTTTTACTTGCTCAAAGAATATGCACTGATTCTAGCGCACCATTCTTTATACCATACCCCAACTGTACACTTCATAACAATCCAAGAAGCTGGCCTTTATCCATTATGCCATCTAGCGATATTGATATTGGTTCTGCTTCTGGCTTAAAGTTTTGTTGTTCCATCTCTTTATTAATCCATAGCTAGACATTGCTGCCACTTATTTTCAATAGTTTTCTTTTTTCTTATAAAATGTGCCCTAATCCCACTCTGTTCATTCTAGTCTTAATCGGGGAAGTAATTAAGTGGCCTGTGTATCCAGTCTTTACCAACCAGTAAGCTGATGTTCGTCATGTGGCTTTAAATATTGAACTCTATTTTACTGTGTTTTATATTATGACTAAGTTTCACAAATTTTTGTTGACAAAAACTACTTTTAGGTGATATTTATTCCAAATTATTCACAATGACACTATCATTTTCCTGCAACTATTGTTTTGTTAGCAGCTAGGACATTGATAATTTTGCTATACCCTTGATACATTTTTGGTCAACTATGAAACGAAGGTAAAGATCAGAGTGCTGAGCCTATTATATATTCACATGTTACCTATCTTGGGAAAAGTGACTTTTCCCTAAATTTCTCATAACCAATACCTACATAGTCTCAGCTTTCATATATACTTAACTAGAGGATTGTAACATTCCATTATCTTAATATCTAATAATAGTTTTTTGGCACTTTAACTCATATAAGATTTTAGGTTTTGATTCCGTGGCTGCCATATTTCAGTATTACATATTGTATGAAGACAAATAATAGGAATGCTAGAAACCTTTAAACAAAATATAGCCACAATAAACTATTAGAAATTGAATTGTGTTGTCTTTCAATTTGTGCTGCCTTAACATCACTAGCACTTCATAACAGAAGTGCTATTGAGGAAGAAAAGATTTTTTGCTCCTGCATTAGGAGTACCAATAATGATGCTTAAAATTCCATCTTGGTCGATTTATGTTCTCTATACGATTTATGTATAGAGTGTAACTCAAAATAAATTCACCTATCTGTGGCCGAGCTTGTTGAGAAAAGCCTGTCTAAAAAAAAACTAAGGACGGCTCAATGGAAGTTGACAGGACGGGTGAATTCTGTGAGAGTTAAAACTCTTATATGGTATTTAGTGTCACTTGACTTGTCCTTATTGTATGTGTGTCCACACTGAAACTTGTTTAAAAGGAACGTGATTTTTGTGCTCTATAGCGAAAAAAAAAAAACTGAATTGGCTTGAATCGCCAAACCAATTATATTTACCTTTGATTAAGGAGGTAAATGTAATGAAATAATAAAATAGTATGTAAATGGTTGCGATAAACAAAACAAGGTTTGTGAAACAGGTCTTTATTGTTACTATTGGAGAAATAAACATTGAAAACCAGGAGAAAGTGGTTCAAATGTACTTACACCAGTGGTGTAGTGGGGTGAGAACGGCGTTCCCACTCAGCTTTTTTCAAACCCATACATTAATAGATTTTTTGAGAGGATAGCAGGCTTACCTGAATGGGAAAGAGTCCAAACTGGCACAGGAAACACAAAACAAAACTTTACACTATATACATAAAGTTTTGTTTTGTGTTTCCTGTGCCAGTTTGGACTCTTTCCCATTCAGGTAAGCCTGCTATCCTCTCAAAAAATCCTAAAAAATCTAGGCCCTTGTGCTCTATGCTACACCCTTAACCCCATACATTAATAGGTGACCCGTATTTTTTTACAACAATTGTGAGTGTCCTCACACTTAGGGTAAACAGTGAACAGTACTAGTGAAGATAACCATTGTATTTTGTGTATATTAGCGAATTTCCCTATAGGGAAGTAGCTATTGCCATAGGTGGCATGGTAAGACCTAGTCCCGGGACCGATTTACTTTTTCATTTTCATGTCCCTAGAGGCCAAAAACACCATTCGTTCAAATATGATACTAGCAGTTACCCGGCACGTGTGCTGCGCTAACAACTATTATTTTAAAGGGTAATTTGTGAGTCGGTGGCTCAGTTGGTAGCGTCGCGGACTTCGGGCCCAAGGCAGTAGTGTCGTGGGTTCGGATCCTGGTCACTGCCATAAACTTTTATCAGTACAGTTAGTTCACCTTTGTACTGTACCGGCTCACCCCTTGCTTTGACGTTCCACGCACAGATCTGTAGTCTATGTGGACGGGCAAATGCAAGGTTAAAAGAGGCCGCTAACCTCTTTATATATAAAAAAAATTGTTCTTTACAATCCATATGTTAAATATATATATATATGAAGTGTATAAATATATCTATTATATTATTAAAGTAATGCAATCAAAATTTATGTAAACGGTTAAGGCCATTTTCCAAATAAAAATATAGACATATGGCATATCAAAATGAAGCTTAGAGTGTGTAGATTTGCCGAAAAGTATTTATATGGACCAACTCCCTAAGGGCTCTGCCCCACAGGCTGATTTCCAAAGGGCTACGCCTCGCGTGTTTTGGAAGTTATTATTCGATTAATTTAGTGAACAACAGCTGGCCAATGCAATTGACAATACAGTTTGTTTGTTTACATTTTTATTTACTTATTTACTTTTATGTTCTTAAAAGAAGTGCGGTGAATGGACAGTGAAGCTATTAAAGGTGTTCGAAACATGATGAATATGAGATTAACAAACCATGTATGTTCTTCGTTCCAAGAGGTTGTCACTGATCTTTAACAGGTCACAATTTCATAGAAAAGTATTTAAAGTAAAGTAGACGTCGTGAAAGAGAGCTGCATGTTCAGGTACAACCTCGGCCAACCTTAGGACGTAAGGTATGAAGGTTCCACTGCTTTAAACATCCTTTCAGATGACAAATTCTCGAACTTGGGCCCTTTAAATGAAATATAAAGTCAAAGTTGATTAAATTAATTTAATGGTGGCTTCTGTTCACCCGTGAATTCGCGGGTAGAACCTCTTGTAAGTTATTACTTTGATAAATGTTTTTACGTTTACATATTTAATACAGTAGGGGAAATATTACAAATGGTTTTTGCTTGTTTATGGATATATTTTGATCAAACTTGGCAAATTTATTTATTTATTTATTTTATTCGAAGCTATTGATATTTTACAAAAAAATACACTTTATTAATTTCCTTGTAGCAGCAAACCTAGGTCCTCATGAACTCATATTACACCTAATGTTATTTAAATAGATTTAATTGAAAATCAATTCAGACAAATTTAAATTCACTTAGTTGGCAGGTTTGCTGCGACGGAGGTATTTTTATATCCAAGCTTATATTTACAACTAACAAAAATGTTAGTGAACTGTTAAACAGCAATTTTGTTTTCATAAGAACATACACAAATCCTTACTTCTTACTTGAATGATTTTGGATATGTAACTATCGTTGGACAATGGGCTTGGGCCTCACTGATTGGTTCCCAATACAACAAACTAGATTATTGGCTTGTTTGAAGAAATATTATGTTAAAAGATATTGATGAAGTGAAATAAATTGTACAGATATGAAAGGATGTTGTGCATAACTTGTATGAAACACACTTCAGGAGTAGATCTTATTCAGTATCAGCAACAAAACTCCAAAGGACATTTTACTCCATTCTGCACCACCCCCCTGCATTCATATTCAACTTAAAATATACAAAGTATGTTTGTCCTAGTGAAGTAATTAAGTAAATTGATAAAGGGAGTGAGAGGTCTGTAGTATCATAGATAAAACACACTCAGTAGATTTCCCATCCTTATAGAACAGTTGAAAGCAATTGTATTGTTAGTTTGTCCGGTGCACTGTAGAGGTCTTGTTTTGTTTACAATTTGTTTCTTGTATTTCAGTCATTTTAAACCTCGTTTAACCAAATAAAATGATCTTATCATAAACAATAACTCTTCCCTAGTTAGTAGCTATATAACCAAGCAGCAAATTACAAATCATTAAATATTAACCCTAAAATAATGTAAACAAAATTACACTAGTGATCAGTGTCAATGCAAAATGTGTCATGAAAAATGAGCTTCGAAATTTACAATGGGATGAGAAGTCTACTTGTGTTGGTTAGTCTATGATAGTATCCACATTCATTGTTCAAAAATATTTCACTGCCTAGAAACCCAAACATATGACTTGTATTTTTTAACACATGAGAATAAATCACATTCATACCAGCTTTTATTTCTTTTTTACTGTATAGTCTAACAAATTAGAATGGTAAAAATGTTAATATTTATTTACAAAAAATAAAGTATAAATATTTGTTTAACATTTTATCTGATATGTTGATTCTAAAATTAACTGTGTTTTTCTATTGGTGTAGCATTGTTACAAAATGTGTTAAACATCCAAAGGATAGTACAATATTTGCCATAAGACCTATAGAGTGTCAAGGCCCTGAATCTTCAGAAGGCATTCCAATTGTATATGCAAGCCATACAACTAAATTGTATTTGTTCGGCCACAACCTAACTCCATCTTCAGAGATCGGCTTTACAAGTGAAACCGACTGTGACTATCCCATTCCCTCTGTTGTGTGGCTGAGCAATTCTAGTGGTGTTGTGACCTTCACTCCTCCTTCAAAACGTCCAGTTTGGTCCAGGACCAAGTATTACACGTGTCTAAAGGATGGGGGAGAAGAGCATAGCATGTGGATTCATCAAGGAACTGGGAAACACGTCACGCTATATGTTGTGGAGCCTTTGTTCACCTCCTGGAGCTACATTGCCATTATTATTGTCTGCTACTTATTGTCTTCTCTCATGACAGGCTTGAACCTTGGACTCATGTCACTAGACAACAGTGAACTCCAGTTGCTAAGGAATGCTGGAACACTCAAGGAGAGGAAATATGCTGGGAAGATTATACCCATCCGTAGAAACGGGAACTTCTTAGTTTGCAGTGTTGTAATCACTGCTACTCTATGCAATGCAGTCTCTACTGTTGCGACTGATTCATTTTTTTCTGATATAATAACTGTTGTAATTACCACATTAATGATTGTGTTATTTTGTGAAATCCTACCACAATCGATCTGTTCGGCTTATCCGTTACAGATAGGTGCTAAAACTGTCTACATAACTAGAACATGCATGATTTTGACGTTTCCTGTATCATATCCACTTAGTGAAATACTAAACTTTATTGTGGGGAAAGAACTGACTAAAAGCTATAATAAGGAAAGGCTGAAAGAGCTATTAAAGAAAACCAACTTACCGACTCATGAAGAGAAAATCATTAGTGGGATTTTGGATTTCAGCAGCAAAAAGGTTGAAGATGTAATGACAAATCTGAACGATATTTTCAAATTACCCATAACTGCTGTTATGAATTTTGAAACGATTGCTGAAATTTTGGCCTCAGGATATTCAAGGGTACCTATATATGTCGGAGACAAGTGGAATATCCAATATGTTTTATTGACCAAGGAACTTGCCTTGTTAGACCCAGATGAGAAAATTCCTGTAAAGGTTCTTGTCCAAAACCCTAATTCTGCTTGTCATTATGTTTCAAAAGGAACTTCTCTGGATGAAGTGTTTAAATCATTCAAGGATAGTAGACGCCACATGCTTTTTGTGACTGACGATGAAAACAACGCTGATAAGAGGAAAGATAATGTCATCGGCTTAGTAACTTTTGAAGACATAATTGAAGAAATATTTCAAATGGAAATTCTAGACGAAACAGATACTGTATCCGACAATAGGGGAAAGAGAAAAATTTCAATTACTCAAAAAACAGATATAATCACATTACTATTACAACCAACCAAGGCCAACGTACCTTCTGAGAATGTAAAACTAGCAACTTACTGTTTCCTTTCAGAGATCGAGGAGTTTTCTATGAAACACTTGTCTCCAA